AAAAAAAAAAAAAAAAAAAAAAAAAATTGGGAAAGCTCCATGACACTGGTTTGGGCAAAGAATTTTTGGATCTGTTCTTCAAAGCATAGGCAACGAAAACAAAAAGAGACAAATGAGATTACATCAAAGTATAAAATTTAGGCAACAAAGGAAATAATCAACAGAGTGAAGAGACAATCTGTGGAATGGGAGAAAATATTTGCAAACCATATATCTGACAAGTTGTTAATATACAAAGTATATCAGAAATTCAAATAACTTAATAGCAAGAAAAAAAACAATTTAAAAATAGGCAAATGGGCTAGGTGTGGTGGCTGACACCTGTAATACTAGCACTCTGAGAGGCCAAGATAGGTGGATGGATTGATTTCAGGAGTTCAAGACCAGCCTGAGCAAGAGCAAGACCCCATCTCTCTAAAAGTAGAAAAACTAGTCAGACACGGTGGCAGGCACTTGTAGTCCCAGCTGTTTGAGCCTAAGCCCAAGAGATTGAGGTTGTTGTGAATTATGATACCACAGGGTTCTACCCAGGCCTACAAGAATGAGACTCTGTCACACACAAAAAATGAAAATAAAAATAGGGAAATGATGTAAATGGACATTTCTCAAAAGAAGACAAGGGAAACACCAAAAAGTATATGAAAAAATGTGATATACATATTTTCATATGTGACATAAAAATCAACATCACTTGAGACTGCTTGAGCCCAGGCATTTGAAATCAGCCTGGGCAGCATAGTCAGAACTCATCTTCACAAAAAATTTTTAAAAAATTAGTTTGTCATGGGGGCACACACCTGCAATCCTAACTACACAGGAGGCTGAGGCAGGATTGTCTGAGCCCAGCAGCTTGAGGCTACAGTGAGAACTGATTGCACTACTGTACTGTCTCCTGAGCAACAGAGTGAGACCCTGTCTGAACAAAAAGAATGTGTGCAGTGCAAATGTAATTCCATATTTTGCTTCCCATATTACTGTACCAAATAACAGTACCACTTGCAGTATACGGAAAGTGTATTATATACAACATGAAGAACACTGATAAAATCAATCCAGACTGTCTTTTCTGAAGGTTTTACGTGTTATATACATGCCATTTTTTCTTCTTTTGGAGACAGAGTCTCACTTTGTCACTCTTGGTAGAGTGATGTGCCATCAGAGCTCACAGTAACCTCAAACTCTTAGATTCCAATGATTCTTTTACCTCAGCCTCCCGAGTACCTGCACCCACCAAACACCTGGTGTTTTCTTAGAGATGGAGTCTCATTCTTCCTCAGGCTGGTCTCAAACTAGTGAGCTCAAACTATCCACCCACCTGGGTCTGTGAGAGTGCTAGGATTACAGGCGTGAGCCACCGCACCCAGCCTCATGTCATTGGTTTAATCCCTATGTTTTCTTTTTGTTTTCAGGAGCTTGAACATCATTTAACAAACTTAAAAAGATAAGATTAAGAAAAAGAAAGTGTGAGTTTAAAAAATGGCGGAGTAGAGGCAGCCTCCCAGCACACCACTGTCAAGGAAAGAAGAGAAGGGTGCAGGCAACTGCGTACATGTAGATAAGTCTTCTCTGAAGCAGCATTGTGAAATCGCTGAGAAGCAACACAGACATTCATATGCAACAGAAGGTGAAGGGGGTATACATATAACAAGATCGGAGAATATGAGTGCTGACTCAGTGCGAACTGAACTGCAAGACGCTTCCCACCACCACCACAGACCTTTGACCTTATGGGACAGGGAACCTGACTGAAGGCTGTGTACAGCCAATGCACCAGACAACAGGTGCAGTGGGGATCAGGCAAAAGCTAAAGCCATCCTGTACTCATGGGTGACCACATAGGGTCTCCACCAGGCTGGAGGGGGGCAGCAGACTGACTTGTGGCTTCCCTGAAATGGAGCCTGAAACTTGAAGCTGAGCCCTTCTTCCCTAGAGCACAACAGGATCTGAGCACAAGAATTGACCCAAATGACATAGCTCCGGCCTGACAGGTTTGGGGCAATAGTTTTTGGTGAGTGCTGGGTCGGACTTGGAGAGCTATGACCTCTCCCCACCTGACCTGGCATCCACAGAGGCTCTGTAGTCACAGAGTCTGCCCTTCAGGTGCCATCTGCCTCCTGCTTGCTTGGCGCTGATCAAGCCCTCTGTACAGTCCTCTATCTGTAACCACCCTATTTCTGGCTCAGAAATCCTGCTCACAGGCTTTGCTTGTGGCTCCTGCCGAGTTTCAGCTCTGATGCTCTCACACACAGGTAGGGGAATATGCACCAGGCTCTGACCTGAGAAGCTTTGGGAGACCACTTCAGCAGTTCCCGAATGGGGCTTGGAGAATCCCATAGTCCCTGGGACAACGGAGTTAATTTCTTTCTGGGTAACCTGACATCCACCAGCCCTTCTACCTGCAGAGCAGCCAGCTGTTTGCTTGACCGGATTGCATCCTACCAGGCCCCAACTGCCTCCTCCTTGCTTGGCCCTGACCTCACCTTCCAGGTCAGATCATCCCACTATCTGCACAGCCCTGCTTCTAGCTCAGAAGGCCTGCTCAAGGATTTTCCTGAATGTTCCTCCCTAGGTACACCTGTGAGGCTTTCATACCTGAGCACAATAGAGGCTGACCCGAGAGGCTTTTGGCAACTGCTTCAGCAGGTTCTCAGTGGGGCATGGAGAGGTCTGCAGTCCATGAACTGCTGGAACCAACCTCTGCCTGGCTCATAAAGCATCTTCTGTGGGGGATGGACAGAGGACGGGCCTCTGTGTCTGGGAAGCAGCCTCCTACTGGCTTGCGCTGACTCCACCCCTCATCAAGCTCTTACCTGGCCCATGCATGCATGGCCTTGACCCTTCCCTACTGATAAAATAAGCCTCTCTATTCATGAGGACCTGCTCATCAGCTCTGCTTATGGCATCTCAGTCCTGGCTCTGAGGCTACTGCATCAGGGCCTCAGGATCTGCCCCTGCTTCCCCAGAACACTTGCAAGCAATGAGACACCATCTCCAAGATTCTGGCACTGTACCTAGATGCCAAAATCCCACACCAGAGCCTCCACTACCAAATCTGGCCTAGAATAACTGTGTTCCAAAATCCAATGTTCCACCATAAATGCCTAGCCTCAAGCCAAGACAGCAGCTCACTGTGTCTTTTTGTGTGTATGTGTGTGTGTGTAAGAGAGAGAGAGAGAGTCAGAGAGAGAGACAGATTCTCACTTTGTCGCCCTTGGTAGAGTACCATGGCATCATAGCTCACAGAAACATCAAATTCTGGGGCTCAAGTGATCTTCTTGCCTCAGTCTCCTGAGTAGCTAGGAGTACAGGTGCCCGCCACAACGCCCAGGTATTTTTAGTAGACACAGGATCTCACTCTTGCTCAGGCTGCTCTCGAATTTCTGAGCTCTAGCAATCCCCTGCCTCGGTCTACTATGCTCACTGTGACCTGCTTTGAGCAAATGGCCACAACCTGGGAATGAATGACAGTGTTATCCAGCTGCTACTGTTACCTCTGTGGGAAGACTTTAAGTAGAACAATCATCACAACACTAGCCTCAGTGATGAGGGTCTCACCTGCTCTCATTATGAGCATCCTACAGTTATATCGAGGGTTCCCAGTAAAGAACAGGTGTCCAGCAAATCTATTAGCACTGAACTGAGATAAGGGGTCTCAGAGGAGAAGAAGTCCACAAGAGAAACCTGGAAATATGAAAAGTCAAAACAGATCTACACCCCCCCCCCCAGTGAGCCCAATGGAGTTACAGCATTCAACTCTGAACTCCAAGGAAATTGTCAAAAATAACAGAAATGGAATCCAAATGGGGATGGCAAATAAGATGGATGGAATTGAAGAGGAAGTTGAAAACAAACAAAAAGACACCAAAAAAACATTTCAAGAAATTAATGACAGTATTACTAAAGAGCAAGACAAAATTAGGGAGGATATGATAGGACCTAAAGAAATGAAAGAGTTACTCAGGGATTTTCAAGGCAAAGCAGAAAGTTTCAGCAACAGATTAGACTTAAGGAGAAGAAAGAATATCGGGGCCGGGCTCAGTGGCTTACACCTGTAATCCTAGCATTCTGGGAGCCCAAAGAGGGTAGATTGCTTGAGCCCAGTGGTTCAATACCAGCCTGAGCAAGAGCAAGACCCCATTTCTACTGTAAATAGAAAATCTGAGGCAAGAGAATGGCTTAAGCCTAAGAGTTTGAGATTGCTTGAGCTATAACATGATGGCACTCAACCCAAGGTGACAGAGTGAGACTGTCTCAAAAAAAAAAAAGAATAGCAGAGATTGAAGACAAGGTTCTTGAGCTAACCCAACTATTGAAAGAGGTACAGAAGAAAACAACAGAGGCAGAGCAATCACTTAGAGAGTCATGGGATTATGTGACGTGAACAAACATATGAATTACAGGAGTCCACAAGGGAGAAGAAGAAAGTGCATAGACAACCTATTTGAGGTATTACTGTGGAAACCTTTCCTAGTACCACCAGAGATCCAGGCATGCATACACAAGATGGTCTTCAAACTCTAGAAGGATTCATACCAAAGAGGACATAGTATTCCTGGCCAAAGTCAAAATGAAAGAGAAAATGCTACAAGCAGCTAGACGTAAGCACAACTGACCTACAAGGAAAAACCCATCAGGATAATAGCACACTTCTCAGCAGAAAACTTAGAAGCCAGAAGGGAATGGGCCTACATCTTCAATATTATTAAATAGACATTTTTATCCTGAAAACCTGAAACAGGATCCACACCTTTCTCCTTTAACAAAAATTGACTCTCACTGGTTAAAGGACTTAAACTTAAGACATGAAACTATAAACATTCTTGGAGAGAGTGCAGGGGAAACACTTGAAAAAAGTTGGCCTGAGAGACTACTTTATTAGGAGGACCTCCCCAGGCTATTGAAGCAACATCAAAAATACATTACTGGAATCTGATCAAACTAAAAAGCTTCTGCATGGCATCAGATTGTTCATTGCAGCTCAATTCATAATTGCCAAGTCTTGGAAGAATCCTAAGTGCCCATCGACCCATGAATGGATTAATAAATTATGGTATGTGTATACCATGGAGTACCATGCAGCATTAAAAAAGATGGAAACTTTATCTCTTTTATGTTTACATGGATGGAGCTGGAAAATAGTCTTCTTAGTAAAGTATCTCTGGAATGGAAAAAAATATCCAATGTGTTCAGTACTACTGTAAAACCAATTTATAATCACTCACACTTTCATGTGAGAGATGAATCACAACTGTAGCCCAGGATGAAGGAGGGAAGGGGAGGGGGTGGTTCAATAGAAGGAGGGTTAATGGTGGGACCACACCTATGGAGCATATTGCAAGGGTACAAGTCAAATGTATTAAGTATTGAACACAAATGTCTTAACACTGTGATTAAGTAAATGAGGTAGAAGCTATGTTAATTAGTAGGATGTAAGCACTCCAATTTGTACAAATAATCAACACATTGAATCCCACAAAGGCATAAATGTATTCATGATCTATGTATATATGACTTAATTTTAAAAAAAGGAAATTAAGTTTGTTCTAGATAAGCAAACATTGAAGGAATTTGTCAAGACCCTACCTGCCCTTCAGGGAATCCTCAGACCTGCATTATACATGGATCAGCATGACAGGCACCCATCAGGGTAAACTCACCCACAACGTGATGATATTGGCCATGAGAATGAATTTATGAAGAAGACACCATTAGCAATGGCAGCAACACCTGATCAAGTTAAAAGTCTTCTACACTGAGAAGGACATGACAAGAAAGCAAATTTACAACCTTCATAATGGGAGAAGATAGGCCCATGTTACACTTCTGAGCAAGGGCTGATAATCAGGATCTACAAAGAACTCAAGGAAATCAACAGGAAAAGAGCAAACAAAATCAATCAATGGTCTAGAGACATAAACAGAATCAAGGGGACAGATGAATGTCCAGCAAACACATAAAAAATGCTCAGCATCCTTAATTATCAGAGAAATGCAAATCAAAATCAGTTTGAGAAATCACCTAACACCAGTGAGAACAGTTCATATCACAAGCTCCCAAAGCTGCTCATGGTGCTCATGTGGGTGCAGAGAATGAGGAACATTTATAGTCCTTTTATAAAAGAAATAAGGAGACTCTTGAAGGAGCTAAAGGCAGGCCTTCCACTTGATCCTGCAGTCCCATTGCTAAGTATTTACTGAGAAGAAAAAATACTATTTTTTTTCACAAGGACATTAGTCCTTGAATATTTTTAGCAGCTCAATTCACAATTGCAAAGATGTGCAAACAACCCAAGTGCTCATCAACCCATGAATGGATTAATAAACTGTGGTATATGTATACCATGAAATACTATTCAGCCATAAAAAGATGAAGACTTCCCATGTTTGGTATTCACCAAAGCAGATTTGGAGAATGTTTCCCTGAGCCAACTATATCAAGAATGGAAAAGCAAGCATCTCATGTATTGAGTAGTAATCTGTCACTAGTAGAACTATAGGCCCACAAGAGAGCAAAACGAATTCAAGAAGGGGATAGGGGAAAGAAGGCTTGGTAAGCTGCCACCTATTGGGTATGATGTAGGGGTATATGGCACACTTCTTAGGTGAAGGACTCAACAGTAAGTCGTACTTTGCCTTACAAATGCACACAATGTAATTTAATTGTATGTACCCTCATATTAATCCAAAATGAAAAAAGCAGCTAGAAAATAAATAAGTGATATTGCTCACCTCTCAACATTTCATTGCCCAAATCATAAAAAAGAGAAAAAGTAAAGGCGCTTGGGTGGCACAACTTATAGCACCACTTTTGTAAAAGACTGGCCCAACTTGAGAGTGGAGATGGGAGGACAAATGCATGTAGAACATCTAGTACGATCCCACGCAGCTGCAGAAGTGAACGTAGAAATGGAACATCCCCCCAGGTTATACTATCAAGCATATGCAGGGAGATGCGGAAGAGCCATAGAGAATCAGTGGTACCGCTTCTTGCTATTGGGTGCTCTTCTCCTTCAAGGCATATGGAAGACTGAACTTCCCAGATCCCTCACTATCCTGCCATGAAACCCTTTCTGGTTACTGGGAGGTGAGAAGTAACATGTATATCCTCTGGGCCAGAGAATTGAATGCTGACCTGGGACCCTGCATAGTTTCCACCATGGTGGCCATGGAGGTACCTGTTAGGGTGCAGCCTAAGTGATGACAATGAGCAGAGTCACCTGGCAACACACTTTGGAACTGAGGAATTAACTTTGGCCTTGTTGAACTACATCTAACCCATCACTGCTAATACACTGGATACAGTAAGTTATTATTTGTGTGTAAAATACATGGAAACTGATAACATTACTATCCTCTGGGTAGGGAAAGTGGGTTTTAAATTACTTTTTACCTTTTGAATCTTGATCATGTGAATGTTCCAAGAGGGAAAGTAACAATGCGGAGAAGAGATAATCCACACTTCTTGTAGATTTAAGCCAGGAGATGTGCAGAGTAACGTGTAGAGTATGACCAAAACAATACAAATCCCGCATCTGCTACAGTTGAAAGTTGCTCACTGAGGACTGGGAGATGCTTGGCCACAAAGACAGTGCAAGTCTCTGTTACTTATGATAATAATAAGTAAAATTCACATAGCTCTAGGTGTGCTCATGTGTTCCATGATACATGATGGCATTTATCATTTATTACATATTCAGTCTCAAAAGTGTTTTCCAGTTTTGCAAGAAGCCCATAAGTTGATGTCATTGATCACAGGCAAGGCTTTGCGTTCCACCACAGAAGCTGAAGGAGCCATTTATCCTTCCACACCTTACTCTGAGCCCTAAGGCTTTCACATGTGACTGCACACATAAAATTTTGAATTGAGGATGCGACAGAAAATCATAGACACAATCAGGACGTTGTCTTGCCTTGGCAGCAATGAGTCCATTGTTCCCTGGCAGTGGTGGCCAGTGCCTAGGGGCTGGGTGGTGTGGCAGTGGCCCCTGCTGGATGGCTTTGGCATCACCTTGGCTGTTGTTTCCCTACTCTGTCTTTTTTGAGACTCTGTCTTTCGGGCATTCTCATTGGTTTTGTGAGCTAAACAGTTTAGAAAGGCCAACAGCCCTGCTTCTTTCAGTAGCAACATTTTATGTCATGGATGTGTTAATCAGTTCAACGTAAGCATTTCACACTATATATCAAATCAGTATACTGAACCCCATAAATGCATCAACGTACACAGTTATGATTTAATAAAAACAAAGAACAACAACAAAAAAGAATAGGAACCCTGACTGTTACAGGTCCTGAGGTTCCCTGGAAGAAGAGATGAAAAAGGAAGACATTTGATCCTTGGGGTCATGCCCTAACGCCCTTTGTTCTCATACCCTACATGCAACACATTAGCAAACTGCCATGTGAGACATTATAATAGATTCCAAATCCACCATCTACTCCCCAACTCCATTGGTTCTGCTGTGTCTGAGCCAACATTACCACATCCAGTAGCCCCTTATTGGGTTTGCTTTTGTACACAAAACCTTCTGTATCTAGTCATCATGCCATGGTCAGTGTGAGCCTTGTAAAACATCCCAGTGCATGTCACCCCCTGCTCAGTAGCTCCCCAAGGACCTTGATCACTCTCAAAGTAAGAGCCAGGTCCTTACCTTGGCCCACAGTGCCCCACACTGTCTGGGCCTCAGGGACTCCCTCTCCTCATCTCATTTATTCCTACTCTCTGCCTTCCTCCACTCCAGCTACACTGGTCTCTTTCTGGGTTCCTGAACACACATCCTCCTGACTTATGATTCTGCTGTTTTCCAAGGGAACAAATGACACCACCCCACCCCAGAAGATGTATCCCACTTCCCTGCTTTTATTTTCTTTCTTCCTTTTTTTTGAGACAGAGTCTCACTATGTTGACCTTGGTAGAGTGCTGTGACATCACAGCTCACAGCAACCTCCAACTCTCGGGCTTAACCAATTCTCTTGCCTCCGTCTCCCAAGTAGCTGGGACTACAGGTGCGTGTTACAATGCCCAGCTATTTTTGGTTGAGGTTGTCATCATTGTTGTTTAGCTGGCCCGGACTGAGTTTGCACCCACCAGCCTTAGTGTCTGTGGCTGGTGCCGAGCCACTGTTTTGATTTTCTAACAAACTATAATAATTTCTTTATTGCATTTGTGCTTTATTGCCTACCTTCATCACCGGAATGTAAGCTCTCCAAAGGTAGGAGTATTTGTTGTTTCTGCATAGTGATGTATCCCAAGTACCTGAATGACATATTGATATGTTTTTGAGTATTCAATAAATAGTGCTTGAATAAATGAAACATGAGGGAAGGTTTTTTATCCGTTGACCAAGTTGATGGAATTTGGAACTGGAATTTGTAAACAAGGGAACTGTCTTCAAAATGGTGAGGGGAATATTCGGAATGGGGATCTTTAGTGGGAGAAATCAGAAAAGCAAGTTGAGAAGACATGATGGTGGGGCAAGGTAGTATGTCAGCAAAATGGGTGAGGCTGGGGTGTTTCAGGAGAGCCCCAATCAGAAGGAAATTCCTGGAGGGGGCTGGCAGGGAAGACAGTGAAAAAGAGGTTAAAATGCCCATTTCAAGTTGTTTCCCGTGCCCCACATTGGTGTCACACACAAATACACAATGAACATGCTGCACACAACAGTCTTGAATTCTTTGTTGACTTTTGGGCAGCTAGTGAGTGAAGAAGAGAGTCAAGATGAGAAAGGACTGTAGATCACGTTTGATCGTTATCAGGGCCCACACGGAAAGGGACAATTGTAAAGACAGAGACGCTACAGGAAAAATTTGGTACAGATGGAAACTTAGGCAGGCGTGATCAAGTCAGCATCAAAGTTGCTGGCTTAGGTGGAAATCTTGGACAGGGCATCGCGTTTCTTCTGTCTGTAGAAGATACACTACTGTATAGTTTCAGATAACTATAGGTGACTGTGGCGCCATGACAAGAAAAATGGTGCTGTCTTATAGGGATGTTATGAGACTGAGCAAGATGCAGAGGATGGGTTCACGCCCTGAGAGCCAAGCTCGGTTCTATGCTGTTCGTTTCTCGCCCAGTAGGGGGCGCTCAGCGAGCCACGAGGCACAGCTCATAGGTCGGCGGGATGTTGCCAAAGCCAGAGAGCTTGGGAGTGACGTCGATGTCGGCAGGCGGCACCAGGGGGCGTAGAGAGAAGTTCTGAAGGACTGAGGTGAGGTAAAGGAAGAGTTCCATGCGCGCCAAGGCCTCTCCCAGACACACACGCTTTCCTGCGGGCAGAAGAAAGGGCAGGAGGGAAGGTCACATCTGCACAGGGGACAGAGGTGTCTGGAGCTTGTAGATTGACCACCCACGGAGCCTCAGTAGCATCTCGGGGTCGTGATTGTACCCACTGTATAAAGATTTGTTGTAAATGCTATTCAGAGTCCTATATTTAGGACTCATTAGGTCCTGCACTTGTAGGGACCCAGCACGTGGCAGCTACTTCTCTGATGGCTAGGCCTCCCCCTATTCCCAGATTGAATGGTTTTAAAGGATCATTGTGTTCATCCCAGTTCCTCAAAGGTTTATCAAATGTCTATCAGGTGTCAGACTCTGGTGAGGAAAAAAGTGAGAGTTCTCACTTCAGTAATGCTTACTCCCGGTAATGCCCAGTCTGATTGTTGGGAGAGGGTAATCTCCATTTCACAGATGGGGAGCTGAAGTAACTCGCCTGAGGTGCCACAGTTTGTTCGTGGTGGAGTGAAGTCCACTTTCCCAGCCACTGACCTGACTCTAGGTCCTAGCTGACACGCTTAAAATAACTTTGCACAAAAATTTTATGCTTCAGATGGGCAAGCCACTGTCTATTGGGTGAATCTGCCTTACTGTCTGTGTTTATATGGCCTACAAAGTAGGGATGCTTCTTGCATTTTACAATGGTTAAGAAAAAAACAACAAAGCAAAATAATATTTTGTGATTTGTGTAATTTCAAGTTTTGGTGCTGGTTCACATGCATGTTCATTCAAAAGTTGTCTATGGTTGCTTGCATAGTAAAATGGCAAGTGGACCATCTAGCTAGAAAAATGAAAATATTTTTTATTTCATCCTTAACAGAAAGTTTTCTGGCCCCCTGTTTAGTGCTACTCCAAAACTAACTTTTTTCTAACTATCACCGTCAATGTTTTTAATATTCCCTGATTCTGGGATTCTAAAATTTTGTAGTCCTATGATAGAATCTTCAACTTCCCATTTGACGTGAACTTCAAATACAGAGCAATGGCTGGAGGGTAGACCCAGCACACACCTGGTGTCGGGGGAGTTAGACCATGGAAACCTACCAGAGGAAAAAGCCACAAAGGCTTCATTCTTCTTGAAACAGCCCTGCTCATCCAGGAAGTGTTGGGGATAGAAGGCATCTGGGTAGCGGAAGTATTTGGGGTCTTTGAGGACTGAGCCAAGCAGCGGAAATACATCTGTGCCCTGGGGTGAAAAATGGGGAAATTAAGAGAAATCAGTGTTGGATTATGGGGCCAGGGAGCCAGGAGGAAGGAGGGGTATAGAGGAGGGTGAAGAGGTGGCAATGAAGCTGAAACCACACCTTGGGCAGAAGGTAGCCTCGGAAGTGGGTGTCTCGGATGACGCTGTGGGGGACACCCATGGGTACAAAGTCAAGCAGTCTCTGTATCTCATGGATTACAGCATCTGTGTAGGGCATCTTGACCCGGTCATTGACACTTGGGATCCGCTGTGGTCCAATAACCTGGTCAATCTCTTCATGGATCTTGGCTGGAAGCATCCAGAAAAAAGGACAGGAGGTGTTTTTGTTGGAGAAGCTGGACCAGATAATGCATTTCTGTCCCCAGTAGAAAGTGAGCTCTGATGTGCAAGTCATGTGCGCTTGGATGGCCTCTTTCTGTCTCCTAACCCGTTAGTGGTGCTCAATAAGTACTCATCCAGCATGGCGGGGGGCAGGGGGGCAGGGGGGCGGTGCACAGCCTGGAGACTTGAAGGTCAGCTGGGATGTTTGGTCTTTGCTTGAAAACACTGAGGACCCCTGGAAGACTGATGAGTGGGGCAGCGTACTGGGCCCAGCTGAGCTTTCATACACAGATTTTTTGACCAAATGGG